TTGTTCTGTTACAATAAAGAGCTGCTGTTGCCTTTAGGCTGAGTGTGCCTTTGCATTTCCCAATCTAACAGCCAACTTGCATATAACTATGTACAGATGTTATACTATAGCAATGGCACTGATCTCCAGAAATCCCTTCCAAAGGACACAGAACCCAGGATAAACACAGAAAACTTTGAAACTTCTCATTAATCAGAATTGGTATACATCTCCACAACAATACCTCTTTCGTTTCTTTGAGTTTGGTGAGCATAACTATGAGTGGAGTTTCTTCTTGCCACACCATTGTCCAGAAGTCATTGATTGTATTTAGCATGGGTCCCTGTGTGGCAATATAGGCCTTCTTCTGGCTCGCATAACCCTAGACAATGGGAGAGAAATAACAATTATGAACTAATAAGAAACACCGGAGCCATCATCTTTGTTATTCTCACCTCTAAATAATTATCTGGCTCACCCGGATGTAATTTGCATTTATGTAAGACTCCTCTTCTTGGCTGTTGACTCTCTTGAGACAGACACGGCTCTGGGGATCTAGAAGAATATTTTAGTTAGGTGAGATAGCTAAGGGCTTAATATAGCATTTACTATCAGTTGGGCCAAACTATTCCACAGAAAAAGGGTTTTGAAATATTTCTGGTTTCCTATCAGTTTGGTTTGGGGCCTTTATTTCACCCACTTTTCATTACAAATATACAGTTATAATCTAATTATAGGAGTATAAAAGGGATTTCAAAACCCTATATTTAAAAAAAAGATGACAAAAATAAAAAGTCCAGGAGTTAAATGCCTACTGGGCTGAACCAATAGTTTTTTTCCCCTGATACCTTGAGTTTCTAAAGTTCCTCTCATAAGTAAAAACAAGTATTATTTTATTTCTCTTAAACTTGGAGGAATGTGCATCCTACAACAAAGTGGCCCAACTGGGAATTTTATTCATCTCTTTTCCACATTAAATTATATTTTCCTTTACAGTCTTGTGCAAGAATGACAGCATCAGCAAGAAATTCTTATGTATGTGTATGAATGCTTGCATTTTATCACACCACAGCTTTAAAAGCAGGCTTCCCCAACCATCCAGGTAACTTGGATTTTACTTCACATTATTTCCATCCGCCCAAGCCTGGGGATAATGGGAGCAGAAGTTAAAAATTTCTGGATTGGCTTTTCCACAATTTACAACAGTTTCAGCATTCAGTGCTTCTCAGAGCAATAAATAATTTTTGATTCCCTGTAACTGAAAGAAAAGGAGCTACAACATGCTCAAAAATAGCACACAAGGCTCAAAAATATAGGAATATGATATTGCTTTATTATACCTATATTTCAAATTTTACCATTCTATTGAAGAATTCAAGTCATCCTTTTCTGTTCTTTTTTTTTCACTGAGATATCCCACTAGAGAGAAATTGTGCTTCCAATTTCCAATGAAACGTTTATTGCACAAGAGCCAAGGTGACGCAGTGGTTAGGGTGCACTATTGCAGCCACTTCATCTGACTGCTAGTTCTGCAGTTCAGCGGTTCAAATCTCACCGGCTCAGGGTTGACTCAGCCTTTCATCCTTCCAAGGTGGGTAAAATGAGGACCCAGATTGTAGGGGCAATATGCCGACTCTGTAAAACCGCTTAGAGAGGGCTGAAAGCCCTATGAAGCGGTATATAAGTCTAACTGCTATTGCTATTGCTAATCATTCTGTCTTATTCATGGAATTCTACTGGAGCCCTTGAATATATTGTCTTCTATTACTTAGAACCTTTCCATGTTTCTTTGATATTTCATACCCAAGGAATGAATGATTCATTTAACTGGTAGCGTTAGGAGTCCTCCATCCAGAAGTACCCTTTGTAACTACTTCATGTTCTACAGTGATGTTCCATGTGTGGCAGGTTTCTCCAGTTCAGTACTCTACATTCCATTTGTCCAACCAAGCATTCTTCAGAACTGTTTGGACTAACATTCTAGACTTCCCACCCAGTATGATATATTGACCCCCTCAGGGATTTCCAAATGCCTATCCTGCTTTTTGTCATTTTATTCAGCGGATTGAAAACTATTTTCTGAAATCTAAAATAGGAACTTTATCACCTGGTATAGAAACGTTGGCTGACAGCTATGTTCCCTGCTGATATTAATGACAGCTTCAAACTCTGAGCCATGCATCCTCAAGACACCTGACAGGAGATTTTACTGAAAACAGGGATCTGCCAGTGTTGCAGAAACCATGCTCTGCAGTAGGTTATGCAATATAAATCTGGAGTCAAAACTCAACGTTCTTTGTTTTTCTTTCCCAATCCCAGTTTCTTTCTGTTCAAATATGACTGCAAAGTAAACATACTTGGTAGGATGGATTTATATCTATCCTTCGCTGCCCGACCAGGAATGTTGAGTTCTTCTGGAGTGATGAAGTTTGAGGGGATTTTCTGTTAAGGAGGAATTGCTGAATTAATTCCCTTTTGGCATGGTACCCAGAGAGTTGAAAACAATATCATCAGGGCCTTTTATTTTTTCAAGTAGGCAGTTTCCCAGTCCCATCTTCCCACAAAGAGAGCTCAGCAGAAAGGAGGTGGGGGGAAATGCATAACTCAGAATTACTGCTCTGCTCAGTTGCTGCTGTCTAAGATTCATGACCAACTATACTAATTCAGCCTCAGTCTAAATCAGGGCAGAGATATTTAAAGTCAAACTTGGTGCCTGAATGGCATGCCAGAGTTCCACTGGAAAAAGTAGGCAAGAGTGCGCGCGCGCGCACACACACACACACACACACACACACACACACACACACACAAACCTGTTAAGATTCTCAGCCCAGCTAGCAATTTTTACTGTGTACTTTAAGCAGCTGATTCTCCTCTGTGATATTTTTTAAATTTCCATTGCAGTTCAACCCTGTATTTCCTTTTCCTACAATTCCCTCCGCTTAAAGACACTTCGCTTTATATTACTTAAGCTTGGTACTAAGTGGTAATTGATTTTTGACATAATCAGTATTCCTGCTCTGGGAACTATCTACTCTACATGCATTACTTGATGTTAAAACACATTTTGAGGGCCCAGTAGAGCATAGTTGCTGTGTGTGAGAGACGGGGTGGGGGTGTCAGAATGACAAAAGCAGCATTGCACCATTATGCTGCAAATCCTGCCCATTTTGTATGTGCATCAGGACTGCACATATGCTCTAAAGGTTTAATTATTTTGACAAAAGCAGGACGTTTCTACAGATGCCTGAGAGAGACCTACAGATCTCATACCTCTCTACCAGCTATCTCTAGCCTAGGAAAAAGGCTATTTGATCCTGCTATTCATACTGGGAATCACTTAGGGGCAGCAGGAAGGAATTGACGCACTGGAGGAGCTTAAACTGGAATCAAATCAGGCAGTTGGTAGGCAGTTTTGGGAATCTCACCGCAAACTCCTCTTGAAGCTCTTCCAGATTGAAGCTCCATTCCTGGAGTTTCTTCTGTGTTAGGACATGACTGGCAGTGTTCAAAAACTGCACTGTGACATCTCTAGGAGTGGAGATTTGCACAATGGGTTCAGTGTTGCTCAGAGAACTCATGTCCAACACCAATGACACATTGGAACCCCTTCTGCAAGACAAAAAAAGCCTGAAGTTACAAACCATCAAACTAGAGAAAGCAGCCTATGCTATAGCAGCTGACAAAATGAGATTGTTGTGCTGACTATCACAAAAACAATTGTTGTTATCAAAATGATTTGGCCTGAATCAATATTCAGCCCTATCTCTATTAACCACACCCATTCACTTTCCTCCGAAGTCAGGAAGAAAGTATTTCCATATGAGAAGCACTGCCCCCACATCCCGTACCATGACTCAGCAATGGGGCAGGTTAGGGTTGCTGCCTGCATACGCTGTAATAACAGGTAGTTTCAGACCAACAGTTGGCAGAAACTCTGCCATCTTTTCCCTTCCCATCCTACATCACCTATCAATTGGAAAGCAAATTCCAGTTGCCATAACAGGACTTCTGCTCTGGCGGGCCTTAGTGCTTTGCCAGAAGAGCCACTCCAAGTTTTTCTGTATGCATGTATATATATTTGCATCAAGCTTCTGATTTGCATGATGCAGGGTGCTCAGCAACTCAAACTGCAGTGGCTTAATCCTGGCCTGGTCATTGAAAATTATGCAATGGCTTCACTGTTGCCCACTTTATGTTTGTGCAGTAACTCAATGAGCTGTCTGACTTTCAGATAAATTATTTGCAGGAAGTGTGTGTTGGAACACATCTTCTGGTCTTTCTGTGCCAATTTCTGTGACTTCCAGAAAGTCAGTATTCTACAGTATGTCAGAACAACCTCGGTCAGTAACAGTCAAGTATCTGGTGCATCTGGCAACTATACAAAAATGGCCAAGGAGACTCAAGAGTTCACCAACTGAAAGGTAGCAGGGAGACTTGCAATTACCAAGCGTAGTCTAGTAAATCATTAAAACCTGCAAGGGTTTCTTCCTCCTTCAAACCTAGAATGTCTGCATGGGAGGGCTTATATTAGCATAGGATGGGAAAAATTGTTTTAAACAAAAAGATACCGTTTTGACATTTTCTAACCACTAAAAAAGTGGGGGTTAAATGCACAGATAGGAGCCATGAAAGAGAAGGTCTTCCCTCACCTTTCAGACAGATCCTGTGGCAGTAGAAGCATTTTGAAAAGACCTCTGCTGCTGATTGGAATAACTAGTCCTGTTCATCATGACAGACTCTAAGGTGATTAGTATATTAATTGTCAATGCCAATTTGAAATATCCAGCTTTTTCAGTATACAGGTATCATATGATTCCCATAGTTAACTGTTGTGGCCCAGCAGGAGCCGTTGGAGCTGCCACCAGACTCCGAGAGCAAGAGGCCCTAAGAGTCGGCTCTGGAGGATGTGGAGGACCCTAGACAGGGTTCCGACTCCAAGCAGGGCACAGAGAGGCTGGTTGGCCACCAGGAGGCGCCTGAGCCTTGGACCAGTGGGGAGGAGACAAGGGAGAGTGATCCGGATGCCAGTAGTGAGTTGTTCCTGGATGCCTGGCACCGAAGGGCTAATAGGTGTCAGGAACAGATGTGCAAGTACAGGAGGTAATTGCACTCAGCTGGTGGTCATTAGGCTCCTTTCCAGACTATAAAAAGACTGCTTGTGCACAGGCCCCTCTTGCAGAAGTCAACACATTGACTAAAAGTTGGAGAACTTTTGTAACTAGCTTGGCAGGCTGGATTGCTGCCAAGGCTTGTCTGAGTTGCTGCCAAGGTCCTTATCTGTTTGTTATGCTTGGCTTTCAGCCACCAAGGTTTTGGTTTCTTGCTAATAAAGTACATTCCAGTTAAGCTTGTCTCGGCATTCGCTACTGGACGGAGGAGGGGGTCAGAACAGTTAACCATACAATACTACATTTTGCACCAGCTGCAATTTCTGGACAATTTTCAAGGGAGCCTTCTGTAGAAAGTGTTAGTGTAGTTAAGTAGCCAAGGCATGGATAACTGCTAACAGGTCTGCTCAAGAATTATGTATTTGTTAGATTTTTTTTCTATTTCCTTTATTATGTTTAATAAGAAACTCAAGATGGTGAACATACATAATACCTTCTTCTTTCTATTTTCCACACACCAACAAGCTTGTGAAGTGAGTTGGACTACAAAAGAGTGACTGCCCCTGTTTTTACTCCAGCACCTTAACCACAACACGAAACTGGCTTAGCAGCACATCAGTCACAGTTGCTCTGAATGGCAAATACAGTAATAGTTGGGCAGTCAAAAAAACCTCTCAAATCTTGAATCTGCTGAGGAGTACAGTCTTATCTAGAATAGGCTTCACTTCTGTTCGCCAAACAATTTTCTCCTTACCAATAGCTTCTGACTTCTAGCATATCTGAATCTAATTTTAGCTTCTACTCACTCAATTCAACTTAATTATAACATTAGTTAGCCTTCAAAGATTATAGTTGCTTTCTTACAATTGGTGGGAGCAGTAGAACTGGGTGACATCAGCACCCAGATATGCATGCTTTTGTTGAATTATCTCCTTTGGAATGATTAGCTACCCCCTAATCAGATGGGTTTCCAGGAAGGAAGTTTCAAGTCCTGCCTTCGTTAATGATCAACAATATTTCATCTAATATTTAATGGAAGATTGTCATCGACTTCACTGGGAAGAAGAGAAGCTAAATCAATCACAGCATTAAAGCAATACTTAAATACGCACCAGGTCCCCAGGACTTTGACTACAGAGGTATTAGGACTACAAACCTGAAGAACCCATGTCAAGCCACTTTATGCCAACAAAATGATTGATTAAAATAAAGCAAAACAAAACCTCTACCTCACCAAAAATAGAAGTACATACCGTTGAATGCCACCTGGTCTTGATTAAACTGCTATGGAAACTGTGATTTTAATATTTACACATTCATGTGTAAATTAGCCACTACAGCTTGCATGCTTAGTTGCATGTATGAAACTAGCTGAAACTAGCTAACTCAGACCTATTCAACAAACCATAGTGAAGCATATGGTTTGTTATAGTGGTGGGATTCAAAAATTTTTACTACCGGTTCTGTGGGCATGGCTTGGTGGGTGTGGCAGGGGAAAGATACTGTAAAATCTCCATTCCTTCCCCACTTCAGGGAAGGTTACTGCAAAGTCCCCATTTCCTCCTGATCATCCAGAACTCGGGAGGCAGAGAATAGAGGCGGATGGGGCCAGTCAGAGGTGGTATTTACCAGTTCTCCGAACTACTCAAAATTTCTGCTACTGGTTCTGCAGAACTGGTCAGAACCTGCTGGATACCACCTCTGGTTTGTTAGCATAACTTTGTGAATGAACTATATAACAGTCTACTTCCCTAAATGTTCAGGTAGTTCTTGACTTATAATTGAGCCCATAATTTTGGTCGCAAGTCATGGCAGTAGTAAAGCAAGTCACCATTTGACTGAATCAGACACATGACCTTTTTTGCGGCAGTCATTAAGTGAGCACTGTGGTTGTAAAGTGAACACTACAGTCGTTAAACAAACCCATTGTTCATTATAGGGCTGGTTTTGATGGAAACCAAAAGTAAATGCCGGTTTCCATCAAACACATCATAAATCAACGCAGGCTAGTTGCCAAGTGCCCAAAATGTGGTCATCTGACTGTGATGGAGAAACGTGGATGTTGGAACTTCAAAGCTGGGTTGTAAGTCCCATTTACAGGATCCATTGCAACTTTGAATGGTCACTAAGTGACTGGTCCTAAATTGAGGACTACCTGCATCCATTTTAATTTATTTAATCAGCATTCCCAGCTTTATGCTCTCTATTACTCCTATAATTCCCAGCTATGATAACCAGATTCAGCAAAGCTATACATCGTGTCGGAGATCTTTAATTTTGTCTAATAGAAACAGCAGAATACTTAACTTATATCTAGAATCTCAGAGCCTATGCATGGAATTTGGAGTACTACTGACTCACCGATCTTGCAGGCGCACATGTTTCTTAACTTCCTGATTGCTGTGGGTAGCCTTTTCCATTCTCAGTTTTCTTCTTGTTTGCTTCTGCAGCATGCAGAAACTATGATTTCTCAGACATGCTGAACAGGCCAGGACTGGGCTCTGCTAGCAAGGATTCGTTGAACTTAGGTAAGAGAGGCCAGTAACCACAGGAAGAATGAAGCTCAATGAAGCCATGTCTCCGAGAAAGCACCTAGAAAACATTCAAGGAAATAGATCACTACTAAGAACTTCACTGTCTTTCTATCATCCGAAGGACAAACCCCAAGTACAGCAAACCCCATTTAAATCAGACACCAGAGCCTTGTCCAGAAGATGCCAATTAGCTTGGTGTTCTTGAAAAAAATGTTTAAAAAGCCAAAGGGAGAGAAACATTTGCAACTCAGTCCAACAAATGTGTTTGGGGAAAATCAAAAGCCCACTGAATAAAATGGGTACTCTTTGTTTGAGGCTATTGTAGATTCAGTGAACAGAGGAGATCCTTCACTTATTCCTTGCTCCAGATATATGAGGACTGGAGGAATACTACGCAGTTTGTTCGTTGCCCCATATTTTGCAGCTTTGTTCCCCATCTTCATATTCCCAAGAAATGATTCCCTTAAACTGAGATGTTCTCCCCTGCCTGTCCTTTCCCATAAAATCCTCTCTCACCTCATTCTGCCAGTAACTTCATCATCTCTAAGGCTTCAACTAGAGTCTGTGGCTCTAGGAGATGTACATGCAGAGTGAAAAGAAAGTGAATACAGGAAATTCCTTATCTCTGAGGCTGGTGGTTGCTCTTTGACACTTCCTCCTCTTGCTCCACCCTTATAGCCACCCACACACATTCTGGCCACAACTTCACAGTTCCTTCCACAGATACCTTCAGTTCTTGGTGAACTTTTGCAAGGCTGCCTGGACAGTTAGACCCTACCAGTTTTTGCTTTAGGATGATCAGATATTTCTGTTATTTTTACAACCAAGAATGCAGTAATTCACTTGGTATACTTATTGCAGTCTAGAATATAATGCCACTCTATTGACAAAAATACGAATCCCTGACTATGAGCTATTGAGCTTTGTGATATAATAGGAAGCAGCATTTTTAGTGTTTGTGATTTCATAATTATACAAATCTTGTGAAGTCTGCAGTAATAGCTCCCTTCTGAAATCCTCCCTCTACCCTCTTATGATAGGCTTAATTCCCTAGAGATTTATATTTGTTGGTGCAATTTTAAAATCATGGCATTTTTGAGTATAAAAATGTTCTGCGTGTGCTTACTTGGGGAATATTTCAACTGGTTATTGAACAGATCTACAAAATGCCATATTGCAGAAGGCTGAGCTGGATAACCTAAATATGCAAAGGAAGTCCATGTGCAATATTACGCAGTAATGCAATTGGGCAACACAGTTTCAGTTGAAAAATACCACAATGCACATCTGTTGCAGATGATTATTAGGAAACCTCTTTCTATTCTAAGCAATGAAGCATAGGCATTTCAACAAGCTATAGCTCTTTAAAAAGGACATTGGCAAAAAAATATTTAGCTGACAAATGTGCTGGAAAATATATCAAACAATTTTTTTAAGAGGATTGTATAACATTTTGGGAATTTTTTCCTGCCAGACTTGGTATTAATGTTTGCAACCCATTTTGAATATATAGTAAAAGTGAAAAATCTTCAAATTAAGTTAATGAAAGATTCAGGGAAAACCTGTGTACATTTAAGTGGCTAGGAACAGAGTCATGGATATCCAGTAGAAAACTGTTTTCAATTACTGTGATGGTACAAAAACAAAACCATCACAGAAAACAGTTTTATACTGGATATCCATGAAGCTAATAGTGAATTATAGGCATTATAATACTAGAATTCATAGAGTGTCAAGTGACAGATGAGGATTTGAAGGACTAGGCAATGTGCATCAGAAAGCAGTAGTTTGGGCAACAAAATAATTAAATCATAATATTCAAAGACTCTTAAAATAACAGTTCCTTTGCTCGTAAAGAGAAATATGGTGATATTTTGCTCTTTAACATTAATTACTGTATGATCATCTGTGGCAATTTTACCTGAAAAAGTAATATCAGCTATGCCTGCTAATTTTTCTGTTGATGGACAATTTCAAGAGGTTAGCTTCCATTGAGAATTGTTGTCTTCACCCAGAAACTGACAGCCATTCAAAGAGACAATGACGTTAAAGTGATGACTATATTCCAAACAATTTTCATATAGATTAATTTCTGTAAACTAAAATTTTATGCAGTAAAACTGACTGCAACTTTAACAATACTGAAAAACTCAACAAGAAACAGGTGAATATTGGAAAAAAGCCCTTCCTTAACTGTGACTTGAAAAAAGGGGGAAACATTTTGTTTTGTAAATTTAAAATGTAAAAAGACTACTTTTTTTAACTGAATTTTATTTTGTGGGTGTTATGGACCATGTTTAAAATTATGGGAAGATTCCCTCTGACCTCTTAAAATTTGAATTTCAAAAACACTGGTTGAACAAATTTTTTTTTTAAAGTTGATTCACAAATCTTTGGCTTCGTAGTTTGTACAAAGAGATCTTACATCTATAAAAATGGTACTGTATTCCCTGGATGAAACTTCTTTATACACAGCTAAGTGACATTCTAAAGTAGGTTTCAATCTGCAGGTATACTTTTTATAGAAATAAAAAATGACAGTTTTTAAGCATTCTCCAAATTAAACATAGAACTAAAATTAAATGTGATTTGTGATGGTGATTGAAATGGGCATATTTAATCATATAACAATCATATATTAAGACTTTTGATAGGAATCATTTAAACCGATTACTGACTGTTCTTTGACAATCTTCCCTTATATTTCTGAATAGAGACTGGAAATATCTAATTGGTCGATAGTAATTATCAAAATGCTACTCAGTAAAATAAAAATCTTTTGTTTTTACCTAACAATGAAAAGCTCTAACTGAAAAAAAAATTGTCCGGATTTTGGAATTTTATTATACAATTCCTAAACAGTATTTAAAAAGATGATATATTAAGATAAATCAGTATCCATGCATTCCTAATGAGTAGTTGTATACCAGAGCTATTAGCAACTAAAGCCAGAAATATATTAAGATTAAGAATATAATGTTTTCTTCCATGCTAAACAATGAGGAGAATTAAAAAGGGGAGCTTTCTACCAGTGCTGCTTCCAGGTTTCATGTTTTTTGTTTTCTTGCATTTTAATTGATGATTTTCTGCTGAATCAACAAATACAATATTTCATGTATTTGGAAATGCTAATGTGCTCCTGTTTTAAAGTCATGCAATGAAATGCCACAAACTTACTCCTTGAAAGGGTTTAATAACAATCCATTTGAAAAAAATGTATACAAATTATATTTACATCGCTACTTACAATATTGGCAGGAATACAGGATATTCTTGCATAAATATGTTGAAAACTCTCAGGCTGTAGCTGCAATTCTTTATTATGCATTTATCAACAAACAAATCTAACATACTCCAATGTAATTTGTTGTCACATAGGATGAATGTATGTTTAAGGCTTTTAAACATAAATTATTTGCCTTCTTGTTTTGTATAGTTTTTTAAAAAAACATTTATTTTTTTTAAAAAACTACATCCCAAACTGAACTGAACTTTTCCTGAAACAATGATTGGGATGTCAAAAAAAGTCAAGATGGCAGTTGCAACCACATCATTAAGCCCCATCTCCTTTTTTTATACATCTCACACGACACATATTAAAATGGGTAATGCTTTGATTATCTAGTTGCCATCTTGCCTCCTCCCCCTTCAGAAAATCTCACAATAACCATGGTATGATTTTTCTTATTTATGTACTGCCCAGAATGTGAATGATTGGAGTGGTCTAAATTGATCCCAATATATTTTCTATGCAGAATAAATCTGCTTCTTCTAACCTTACATTTTCCAAGGACATTGCACTACAACTCCCATTATCCCCTATCAGTATATATCTATGGAAACTGCTTTGCAGTGATAAACCATCATACACTGGACTAAGAGCAATTTTGCACTGCAGTCTAAACTGCATGAATAGCACCGCTTCACAGTGCTTTACAGCTCTCTCTAAGTGGTTTACAAAGTCACATCTTGTCCCCAACAATCTGGGTCATCATTTTACCCACCTCAGAAGGATGAAAGGCTGAGTCAACCTTGAACTTGGTGGGATTTGAACTGCTGAACTGCAGCTAGCAGTCAGCTGAAGTAGCCTGCAGTACTGCACTCTAATCACTGCACCACCTCAGCTCTTGATTTAAAATGTTTTTTTTTCTGCAAAGGAAATTGTATTGTTTGGATTAAAGTGTGAGAAGAATAAGGAGCATTATTTTTCACCAAAGTGATGATTCATGAAAATTTTTAAAAAAGTGATGATTCATGAAAACTAAAAATAAGCTCTTGAAGAACCTTTTATTTCTTTGGGGAATGCTGCATGGAGCATAAACCAGTACTTTAACATTGTGGGAACCTGCTCTCTAATGTCTTAGAATTTTTACTTTTAAGAAATAGCTGAGCATTTCTAATATTACTTAATGCATGAAACTTTGATTTCCTATGATCTTAGTGTTAAACAAATAAGTCACATTTAAATTGCCTGCCCGTTTGATTTGAAAATAGCTTTATTCTAAAATTCAAATGCTGCAAGATAGAAATTGATGAATGCACAATGTTTTCATACTATTAACCAACAGCGCAATAATCAAATACAATGTGCCCACACAATTATAGACTCAGATTCTTTCTAAGGGATGGAGGGAAAGAGAAACCTAACCTTCCTTTGAATTTGGATTATAATTACCAGTAACAGGAAGTGAAATTTGCATTATGGTTGAAAAAGACAGAAAGAGCAGAGGAGACGGAAAAGGAAGTGGCTGAAAAATGTTTGTTTTGTCTGCTGCTAGCCTTTGCAAGCTCTTAGAAAAAGAAAACCTTTGCCAGACCTGTCTTGGGATTTTTATTGTTCCTGGGATCATTTCTGAGTTTGGTAGATCAGAACAGAAGCTCCTTATTTCAGCTTGCTTTAAAGAAAAAAAATCAAGAGAATGAATTTCCATTGCACAAATGTGGATTGCTTAGTGTGAATGTATAGAATCAAACCAGAAGATTAAAGTCAAATGCAATATTGGATCACTTGTGCTTATTTGCATGGAAGTCAATTGCCTCAAACTCTACTCAACACTACCCAAAAAAACTCAACGGTTATGCACAAAAGAAAAAATATATCTATCTATCTGGACCAGAAAATAGACATTTAGAGATGGAGTGGGGAGATCAATGTACAAGACGTCTGCTACACCAAGAAAGGGATAGTTGTAACTTATACCTAAATATTTTCCTGGCTTATCAGGAAAGGGCTCCCTTGGAAGGGCTATTAAAACCTCTCCTTACAAGATCTAGTGAAATGTTTAAGTTCTGATTGAACAGCAAATTCCCAGACACCAAGTCTTAAAGAGCTTTATAGGTTAACACCAGCATTTTAAACTATACTCAGAAACCCACTGTCAACCAGAGCCCACAGAATCCATTATACATTACCACTCCCAACACCAAGAGCCAGTAAATATATGTCAGTGCTGGCAAACCTTTTCAGTGTGTGAGTGCTGAAAAGGGAGCATGTCTGCGCGCATTTGTTGGGGCCGCAACCCGGAAGAGGAATTGCCCAGGAGGCATGTATGTGCTGGAAAATGAACTCCTGGTTTCCGGTGTGCCAGCTAGTCTTCCGGTTACTGGCAT